CATGGTACCCTTGTACTTGACGGCCTCACCGGAGGTCATCATCATGCGGCGACGGATGGTGTCAAGGGGGTAAGAGGCGATACCGGCACCAGTGGTGACGGCCCAACCAAGAGCGAAAGAGGCCAAGAAGTTACCCTCGAGGGAACCGGTGAGGAGGACGGGCTTGATCGAGTCGTACATACCGAAGTACAGACCACGGTAGACAACGATACCAGCAACGGAGGGCATGAAACCACGGTAGAGACCGCCGATACCGTCGGAGGCGAGGGTCTTCTTGTAGACGTCTACGAGACCGTTGAACTGGCGCTCACCACCCTTCTTGGCCGACTTGGCGTCGTTGGCGAGACGGGTACGGGCGTAGTCGAGGGAGTAGACGAAGAGGAGGGAAGTGGCACCGGCAGCCTGTTGTTGTTAGATTGTGATTTGCCAGACATCGAGCGATTGTACTTACACCACCGGAGGCCAAGTTACCGGCCATCCACTTGGCGTAACCGTCACGCTCCTTCTTGTAGGCGAACATGGACTTGTAGGTGTCGCGGAAAGCGAAGTTGAGCGCCTGGGTGGGGAAGTAACGGATGACGTTGGCAGTGTTACCACGCCAGAGGGAGAGGACACCCTCGTTCTTAGCGGTACGGCTGAAGCACTCGCCAATGCCATCGTACTTGCGGTCGAGACGACCGGACTTAAGCATCTCATCCTGCGGGGTGGGTTAGCAATTGTCGACATGCGGGGGTCGAGGTTCTGATAATGCTTACCTGGTTCTGGATGAGGAGCTTAACACGCTCGATGGGGGCAGCAGCGGTCTTCGAGACGGCGGCGGAAACACCACCCACTGATAAGCTGTTAGTGGCGGTTGCGAGTGCAAAACTTGGCCGACAACGCTCGCATCACATCCAATTGCCAATGGCAGACGGATTGATGGACCTGTCGATGGAGATAAACGTACTCAAGAAGTCCACCACGAAACCTGGCATCCCGAAAAGGGACTTGTCTGCAATCTGGTCAGCGTCGTCTCGTGCAATTCGTCGATGTAATACACACCCTGCTGTGCGCCCGACATCTTGGATGATGTATGGAGGGGAGATTGGTTGAAAAAGGTGAGGTTGCAGATGCTGGTGCTGCGTTGAGGGAAGAACGGTGTATTTGTAGCGAAGCTGCGACAAATTCTGCCAGCAGCGCTAATTCGCACTAAGCCAATCACGTGCTAGTGGCATTGCCCGCTATCCCGAGCGCACCCTCATCAACACCTCGGAAACGCGGGTTGGGACAATGGTGAATGGAAAAAGCTTCTCGTGAGGGTCGTCGCATTGCAATTGACTTATTGTACGTTTCAATTGCTCTACGTTTACGGCCAGCTCTGCATCCAATTCACGATACCTAGGTACCTAGGTACTCTGCCTCTTGATCCCAACGGAACCCCCACAAGCGTTGCCGTAGCAGCCACACAATGCCTATGGCTTGACGAAATCGCGTCTAAAGGCAGCCCGCAGCCGTCAATTCAACATGGAAAATCCACTGTGGGGATGTACAAGTGTTCACATGCCTCTTCCAGCCCAAGTCTCCCACCCTCTCCTTTCTGCGAGGCACCATTGTCAGGGTCCGCCATTTTTAGGTCGGGTAATCTCGGGGACGGAACCTGGCTCGGGCCAACAACTAGCGGCGAGGGCCTCAAAGAACGTGGGGCCCGAAACTCCAGGCGGCGAATTTTCCATCGCGTTGCCCGCTATTGGCACAAGAGCCGTGGTTCGCGAAGCCTCGCCTGGCTTCTAGGGCTGCCAAGATGCCTTTCCAAGGCTGCCATGGCTGGATGCGTGACGTTGGTGTTGCAGCAGCTTCGTGATGCTGGCTGACACCGTATGTCGGTGTCGGTTGTCGCTGTCTGACGCTCTTCAGTACCCCTCCGACGGCAGCCGTCTCAAGTCATCCGATCACATCGGGATATCGCATAGACTTCGCCAGTCATCGGAATGCCAAACCAGCATCGCGTTCATGAAGAATGTTGAACTCGGCGGTACTTCAAGTTTTATCACCGCGAGAACACTTGCGTCATTGCGTCTTGTCATACCGTTAGAAGGAGGTGGGATGAGCTACCATCAGCCTGCTGTTTTCTCGATGTCGCTCTAGCTCCCTTCTGCACACCTCTACTTGCTGGTAGTATCGTGGCCGTTGTATACAGGCTTGCAGTATTCAGATCTACTCCCTTCCATCTTAAGCCTAGCTCATCTTCCCTTTGCAGCATACAAGTCATCTTTCATTGATCCTGAGGATTATCATCAAATCCCTAGGCGTATACATCGCGCGGTTTCAGCATACTGAGCATACTTTAGCTGTGTTGTCTGCTGCAGCATTGAAGAATGGTTGCGAAACCAAAATCAATTGCTTACACTTCGCCGTCAAGCTGGCACATGAAGGAGACGATATATTTGAACGCATCAATGGCGTCGGGAAACTTAGGATTGCCAAAGGCAGCAAGTGAGCTTGCGGAATCTGCACATCTCGTCTAGTACATGCTACCCTAAGTATGTAGTGGAGAGGCATACGAACCCTACATACTGAAATGAAACGCACTGCACTCAGCCGACAAGCACGATCTGTAATCGATCACTGGTCGCGCCATCTATCAACTCAACATGTACGTGAGCGCTTCGGTATGGCTGTACTGGATACTGCCAATTCTTGTCCAAGGCTCTCCGACAATTCCAGAAGACGACGAACTGAAGCCAGTACCCAAGACAGGTTCCAAACCAGTTTGTACTCTGCCAAACTGTACCAAGACCGGAGACAAGTCCTGTAAGAACAAGAGGGCTTTGCAAGAGCATGTCGTCACCAAGCACACCGAGTGTTATTCCGCCGCGTGCCCAATTGACGGCTGCCCACGCACCGACTTCGCATCATTTATCCACATCGACAAGCACATGAAAGAAGATCACCTGGAATACGCCATGGCCTTGTACGACAACGACGTGATCGTCACATGCTAATTCGAGGGATGCGAAGCCCGCTACAAAGCACACGTCGGCTATCACGTCCATTTGCAGGAAGAGTACAGAGTCAATCCGCCGAGTGTGCTCGAGTGGGAGAAGCCAACGGTCCACTCCTGTTACGTAGAAGGATGCACCACGACCCACAAGTTCAGCAGTCCATCAAAGTACGACTCTCATCTGATCCAGGCCCACGACCTTGTCACTCGAAACCAACGGAGGATCTCCTTGAAGGGCACGGCGTATCGATGGGTGGGGAACTATGCCCCCTTCATATACAACGCTTCACTTACAAGAGCATGAGATGATACACTACAACTATACAAATCTGCTTGTATCGTATCTATAGCATGCGTAGCCCAGATTGGTCACACGTCGCTTGTCGTCATATCATGCTATCAAAGAAGGTCTCCGAGTCATGAACACAACGCAATATGTATAGTATGTAGTTTCGCATACATACAAGCAATAATGTCGAGGTGATATGTACTTCAAAACGGTGCACGATCGAGCGATACTGTCCTGGTATCACCGGGTTCTGCACTGAGACTTGCCCGTCATGGCGTCGTGCCGACTCCGCTTTTCAAGGCTTCATCACCGTACGTCTTCCCTTAACTGCAGTCAATTATCGCATTGCTAACGCTCTGCAGACTATCTCCATGTCCTGCTCTGGTACCGGTCTTTGTATCGATGGACGATGTACAGAATTCACTTCTCGGACATAGTGCCACAGTATGTCGCGTCTCCAGTATCGGGGAAGGCAACAGGATTATACTCAACGGTTGCTATGCCAAGTTGCTCAAGCCAGCAAGACAAGAGGGTGAAGGCGGCTTCACCTTTAACTTTGCGGATATATATTGACGTCACCTATTTTTATGGTCACTCACCTTACACAAACAAAACGTGAGTCACCGCGACTTGCGCTGCTGCCTAAATAAAAAGACGTCGACGCTACAACAACCCAATCCGCACCACCACCTCACCACCACCTCACCACCACCTTACCACCACCCGCCCCTCCCCTCCAACAATGGCGACTGCGAGAAAGACACTGAGAATGTGAGTACTCGGTGGCAACCTGCTTCCCTGCGCGACCTTCTCGGAACCGTCTTCTCGCAGTCGCCCGACAAGCTATCGCGCCACCATGCGAGCGCAGCCGATCGAGGCATCAAAACCAACCAACACCCCCCCAACTTTCTGATTATCCTCGCCACTGATCTTCACCTAAAAGCGACAGCGAGAAAGACATCTGAGAGTGTGAGTACTTGGTAGCGACCTGCTTCCCTGCGCGACCGTCTCAGAATCGTCTTCTCGCACACGCTCGACAAGCTACCTATCGCGCCACCGCCAGCGCAGCCCATCGAGGCACCTAAACAAACCAACACTCCTATATTTATCCAACAATCACAGTCACTCTCACCTTCATTGGCCTTGCAGAGTCTCTCGACAAGTTATCGCGTCACCATGCGAGCGCAGCCCATCGAGGCACCTGAAACCAAACATCCCCATCAGACCACACTCTTCTTTCGATTGGATCGATATGCCGAAAACACCTCTTTCAACGCTATTATAGTCTGCGAGACTGGTCATAGGAACAACATATCACTCGCCAAACCACAGTTTTGCGATTTCCATCAACCCTCACCTTCTACCACGATAACAGCCACGCGCTACGACCAACAAGCACCGGGGTGAGACTGCCTTCTCATGTATGCGCAACTGTGCATCTCTGCTAGAGTGCAACTTCCGCTCTATGGTATCGGAAAGCGTACACCACGAGTAAGAAGCAAGCACAAGCTTTTACAGGGAAGCTACGCAGGCACAACGCCCAACGGGAACGGAGTTCGAATCCCCTTTCCTCGGTACTGCTTCGCCCCTACTGCAAGACAGACGAGGTGCTGGTCATTCGAAATCCACTATCAGCTCGCCATACCTCTCATCCTCCATCCTCCTTCACCCCCGTTACCTCCTTCACTCCCCTCAACTCCTGTTATCCACCTCCCCGTTGTAGCTGTCACAATGGCCGCCTTCAGAGAGTTACAAGCACTCGAGACATCGGATGGGACCAATCACGACTTCATGCTCGCCGCAGGTGTGGACGACGACAACAACAACAGTGACGACGGTTTCTTCGAAGAGTTCGACCATCTCGGCCACACACCCCATGAACGTCACGATTCCAACGGACTTACAAATACCCAATGGGCGGAGCAGCTGCGAAACCTGAGCAGCTCTATTGTTCAGCCTGGATCGTACACTCGACGACGCTTCGTCTCGACATGGGGTACAAGGTTTGACGAGTTCAAGAAGGACATTCTAGGGCATAAGTAGGTTTCATTCTACCAATGGTTTTATTTGTGGGCTGTGCTAACAATTATACCAGTAACTCCAAGGTCTTCGTTTTGAACGAGCTCGAGCAATTCATACTATATTACTTTCGCCGATACCAGCCGAAGCCAGCCTGCACGGACAGTGACGACGAAGAGGCCAACGAACAAGGCGACATCGTTGAAGAAGCGCCCATCGATTCGAAGCCGCGAGTGAAATGGTCGTACAATACACTTAAAGAAGTGATGACAGCCGTCACACAGCGAGCCAGCTTCAGATGGAACGACTTCAAGCTCACCACACGTCAAGAAATGCGAGCAAAAGGTGCTATCGAACGGACGCTCAACGACAGCTATGCATCCAAACAAGAGTGCGTCTCCCGCGATCAGGCTCTAGGAGTGTACTTCGTCCGTCGGATGTCGCGAGGCTTGATCCAGCATGCTCTCGACGGCCACTTACCTTCCTGGAATACTGCTGTGTTGTTCACCTTAGCTATCGTCGTACAAGCCGCCCTCAATTGTCGCTTGGGAGACATACTGGCCGCCAACAATGCAGAAGAGTGGCCCAAGGAACAAACACCTTCGCTCACGTACGATGACGTGAAGTTGGTACTTAAAGGGGGCACTTCAATCGAAGACATCAAGGGCGAATGGACAATCAGGAATGCCAAAGGCAGCTTCGATCACTCTGGATATTTGCTCGCAACTTCCATTCCTCGAGCAGGATAGCTCAGCCAGACTGCTACATGATCTCACGCGCAACGTGCTGGTATCCGCAAAACCGCATGTCTTCGTCTTGATGAGCTGTGTCGAAATGTCTGTAAGCGGCGAGTTGCTTGTAGTCCCCAAAAGGATCTTGCTCCTCGTCAAACCAGTCAACGCCGCAGCGAAGCTTGGCACTCGCGCGCTGATTGGGAAGGCAGTAGTGATACGTACCACTGCGTCTGTCGCCACGACCCCGAGCTTCAATGTCATCCGTCAATCTCACGCAGTGTTCTTGGAAGGAGCTGGACGCGCCAGCGATGTCGAGATTGCTGGCTCCTTCAGCCACTTCTGGAACGCCTGTCTGCGAATGTTCATCGGCTCCGTGAACCGATTGGGTCCGGCGATATTTGGTCAGAACAACGAGCACCCGTTCGCGAAGCAGCTCGCTTTGTCAACTCTCCTTCGATGGGCTGCGGCAGGCCTCGAGATGAATGAACTCAACCAGACATCTCGATTCAAGAACTCAGCGCTGCTAGAAAAGTGTGCCCTTGCGAACAATATGCCATAGCTTCAGGCAGTAGCGGGGTCTTTCGATGACACTCTCTCTGCTGGATACGCCACAATCAACAAGGCTATATGGGGAATTGACAGCAACCTCATGTTCCTGAACGCGCAGGATACGACATCAATCAAGGATGTCAGTGGCTCTTCCTACTCCCTCGAGACTACCGCCGCGGTCATGAAGGATGCCGCCGACCACACGAACACATGGAGGGCGATTCCCATACCATCATCAGTCCGAAGAGCTAAGCCAGACTACTACATGATCTCGAGCGCAGCGTACTAGAATATGTGGAAGTGCATGTCTTCGTCTTTGACAGTTATTTTTGGGAATTCGGGAAGCGGTGACTTGCTTGTAGTTCTCAAAAGGAACCTGCTCCTTGTAGATCTGGCGGATTATCCACGTACAAAGTAGCGGAACGGGCTCCACGTAAAATGAGCTAGACGACTACATGATTTCTCTGGCCACTCGTTTCAAGCTTTCAGATTGGATGTTCCTGTCTCGCATGGGTATTGGTAGCAGGGTGTGAGAGGTAGCGCGACAGTTAAATACATAAAGAGCAAATGACGAAGCCATAATGGCTCTTAATTCATGTTCCACATGCCGCACACAACGGAAGAACGGAGGTGCGTCTTCATTCACAACAAGACATGTATGCAAAAACTACATCCATGACTCCTTATACTTCTAGCACGGAAAGTCATGTCTACGGCAATCACGCCTGGGGCTTCTCAAACTCACACTACATGAGTGCATGTCTGCGGCAAATATGTCGGGTATCCGCAAGACTTTCGAGAACCTGAAGCTTCGCTATGTACTCAAATAGAGACATATATCCGATAACTACATCTGTAAGCCCCTAAACTCAAAGGACAAAATAGCTTGTCTACGGCAACCATGTTTGGGACTTCTCATACTCGCCCCACTTGAGCCCATGTTTGCGGCAAAGATGTCGGTGTCCAGGACACTTTTATAGGACTGGATTTTTGATTATCACGCCCTTCCTAACCCCCCACCAACATCAAACATCTGCTTAAACACAGTGTTAAACAGCATACCAGGTCCTATCTTCATCGGCACAGCAACCTCCTTCAACTTCCCCAACACATCTCCTTCCTTCTCCTTCACCGGCTCTCCCCCTACCATCATCTCCACTGACCCCGTCTCTCCACCACCATATCCCCATCCCATCCTATACCAATACTCCGGCCAAGAATGCCCATTCCCGTCTTCCAGCCCCGTTTTCTCCACGATATGGCTTGCACCTGGTGAAATACCCAGAACCTGTACTCGCGAGCCTGAACTACTCAGGTAATACAGCATCTGTGCAGTATAGTGCTGCATAACCATCTCATCCAGTGCAGCAAAGTCGACGGCGTCGGGCTCACGATCTGGAACGAAGTTGGCGCGGGTGTAGTGGATATCTGGTGGGGATAGGAGGCGGAGGTGTTTTAGATGGGGGTGTGCGGCGATATGAGTCTGGAGAAGTTGTTAATTTTCGTTATCAGAGTTGTGGTGATATAAAAGGGTTGCTTACCAGAAGAGTCTTCTGGTCGAATATCATGTCGGAGCCGGGTCGGTCTGGCATTGGATAAGAGAGTGGGTTGGGGTCTCGAATCGGGTGGAGGGATTGGCGTGGGAAGTGTACGGCGAGGCCTTCAAGATAGGGGAGTGATTTCAGTAGTTTTTCCAGATCCTTCGGGGGGTAGAAGGGTACGCGGTCTGTGATCTGGCCGTCTATGCCGAGTTGGCGGAGGGAGGTGTGGCGGGAGATACAGGATATATCGACCATGCGTCCGTCTGCCATGTCGAGCCAAAGCTTTTCCAGGCTGTTGAAGGATTTGAGGAGTGCTTCGACAGCTCGTATGGTGTATTCTAGTGGAGAAGAATTCCGAGCCATCGTAATGTTCAACTTAGTGAGGTTACAAACGGGCGCAAGTACTGTCATGAGATCGACGATGCTCTCGCAACCCACAAGCTGAAGACATCTGAGTTTGGATAAGTCGATGTTGCCCTGCATTAGAGCTGCAGCCCTTCGCCCTAAGACCACCTGCCCCAGGCTCATCCGTGATAACTTGAGTTGAGGAGGCGCACTGCCACTTTCAGACGGCCCTCCAAAGACGGCCCAGTCTGGTCGTGCCTCTGGGCGGTCAGGATACGCCATTAGACTGAGGCAATCAGGACGTGTCACAATCCTGAGTTCTTTGAGATTCGGAGCGCTGCGCACGAGTAGTCCAGCCGCCTTGCATTGTTCGCTACCCATGTCATCGGGCATCACGGTGAGCGACTCGATACTTGCAAGTCGAGAGGATATCCACGATTCGTGAGCTCCGTGTGCGTAGCTTACGTTGGCAGTATCAAGCCCCAAATTGAAAAGAACATCGAGCCGCTTTATCTTCGTCTGGTTCTGCAGCAGATGAAACATCATTCCTGTGGACAAATTGACTTCACCGGCTAGAGCGCATAATGCCCCCTTGGGAAGTTCGTTGACGATTGTCATGAGCATTATCTCCGTTGAGTAGTCGCATGCGTCGTACAGCTTCTCGGTACCGCTGCGGGCGATGTAAAGGCTCTTTACGTGGGGTATGACGCCGTTCCCGGGCTCGAGGAGTGTGTTCAGCATTTCTGGGGTGACATTGTCCGACACTATTGTAAGGTTCGAAAAAGACATTGGCGTGATGATGTCTCGCCATTCGTGGTTGACGAGACGAACGGCTGCATTGGTGGCTTTGTCGCGTATGGAGGCGAAGATGTTGGCTTTCATCTCCACTGGCAGGCTTGAGAAGCTAGATGCGCCTGATAATTCGGCCATCTTGAATGAGTTGACAGTCGGTGTGTGGTCATCGGTTTCAACGAGGCGGTTGAGGTGACTGGGCCGCGTTTATTGCTAGTGGAGCGCCACAAGGTTCGGCTTCAAGGGGGATCGTGAGGCACCAGGCAGAGGCAAAAGTGAAAGGCCCTTGAGGCGCTGACTCAAAGCATGAAGTACCCACTTACACACAGTACTAGCAGTGTCATCCATAACGATCAAGCAAGCAGCGAGCTCTTGTGTTAACAATACTTCTCTTTTTGAGAGAACCTAATTGGGAAGATATATATAGATTTTAGAAGTCAAAAGTTGCTTGTCCATGTTGCGTTACTGCACTCAGAATTAGAAGAGGATGTTATAAGATAGTCGCACCGCTGCGTCTTTGTTGCTTGTACAACTCACACACAACTACCTAGGTAGCAAGCAGCGACACAATCAAATATGATGTATGCAAATGTGTAGATATACTATCTAAAGAACTCGGAAGAACAACGCGACGGTATGCTGCAGTCTGCCGCAAGCATATCATCGCGTCACTCTACTCGATTCGACGAACAATCGCCCTTTCTGGTCTTTTCTCTCTCACCTTGGCTACTCTTATCGTACAAAATGCATCTTGTTCACTTCAACCTCCTTGTACTTGTTGGCAAGCTCTCTTTGGAGACAGAATTATCCTTCTCAACCCTCTCATGCTCATATCTCTTTGAGGATAGCAGACTTCATCTTTCCAGCATTGTTATGCCCATCTCTCTGTGCCGACAGAAGTACTCCCCACTTCCACATCTGCATCTTCCATCGACTGCAACTGCATCTCGCTCCTCATATATACCCCTCTTTTCTTATCCTCCCTCCTCCTTCTTTCTCTAAACCCCCCCATGCAAATCACCAACCGCCCCATCAACACCATCACAAACTCCAGAGCATCCATCAAACTCATCAAAATAATCATATCCATCGCACTGAACCCGTCCTATACCTCGCCATCAATGACGACACCCAGATTAATAGTGTCGCACTGATTGGTATAGTCTCCTGCTCTTTCTCGCTGGGGGATACCCTATCGGCACTGTCCCGCTAATCGTCTCGTGAGCGTCTTTGTTTTCGAGACTACATCGCTTCGTATCCTCGTGTCATATACACGAGCCTCGCGAATGCAGTCTCAAAATCTAGTCGGATTTGCGACGTCGATCTTTGTTGCGCTCATGTCGTTGTCGTTCTCGCTCCTGTTGTTGCCCTCATCGTCGTCCTCGTCCTCGTTCCCGTAGTTCCCATCGACCTCGCCAGAAGCTATCGCCTATCCGCCCTTGACTTAGACGGGCTCCTGCTCGCTCGCGATCTCTCCGGTGCCTTTGCCGGAGACTTGACCGTCTTCTTTGCCGGCGACTTTGTCGACTTGACGGGAGACTTGCCCCTTCCATTCGCCTTCTCTGCATCTGTCTCTTTCTCCTCCTTCATCGGCGACGCCGCCATCTTACTCAACACGTTCTCGTTGAGAGATCCGACGGGTTTCCCGGCATTGCGCGTGCGCCTGTTGTTGGGTGCCTGCGGTGGAGCCGGGGGCGCGAGACTAGCGGTGGTGGATACGTTTGTTGCGTCGGTGTTGGGGGCTGTGGTATTGTTGTTATTTGGGCCTGCTGGCTCGGTCGACGCGGGATGTGCTTCCGGTGGAGCATCGTCGTTCTCGGCTGGAACCTGGGATGGACTGCTGACTTCGGTCGTCTCGTTTCCTCCGCGAGACGCACCCACGACGTTCTCTGTCACCAACTCGTCCAGAGTCGGAGTCTGCTCATCACCAAGGTCTACCTTCGTCCTCTGCACTTTTGATGACAACGATCTAGGTGGCATCTGCGACGACGGAGGCGGCTCTTCACCGTCATCTTCTGTGAAGAGCCGCTTCGTAGCCGGGGTAAAAACGATAGCGGGCTTGCCATTAACGACAATCGGAGTCATGTTCTCCAAAGCCAGAGTCTGCTCATCGCCAAGGTCCTCCTTAGTCCTCGGGACCTGAGATGGCTTAGGTGAACCTTCTTCGTCGTCGACGTTGATCTTCCGCTTGGTAGTTGGAGTCAGCTCGATGGCGGGGATGTCGATATCGGGGATTTCGATGCCGGAGATATCGGTGGTAGCCTGAGGCGGCTGCTCGTTTGGACTCGGCGAAGGCATGGCATAGAGATCGTCGTTGCTGTGGTCGCTTTCATCGATGATGGTATCGCCGTCAATAACGAGAGTATCGCCATGAGTGTTGGTCTCGCCCTGTTCTGCGTCTTGCTCGGGAAGAGCTGCTACCTCAGCGCCAACTTCGTCGCCCAAGCCGTATGTGAAAGTGCCTGAGTTGTCCGCGTCACCCTCAAAAGAACTCCAGAAGTCTTCGATATCAGAAGCGTCACCATCGTCTTCTCCCTGTTCTTCTTGGCCTGGTTCTTGTACGGCGAACTTGAATGCCGGCCCACCACCGGGCGTGAGTAAGTTTCCGACGGGAAGCTCTGTGTTCTCGCCGCTAAGCCGAAGCTGCTTGACCGGTCTGGGTGTCTCTGCCTCATCATCAGACTTCCGCTTCAACGCATCTAAACCTTCGATGTATGCTGGGAGTGTGATTGTCCTAGCATTCCAGTCTGCGGTGAGTTTCTTGTGGTCCTTTGGCGTCGAGGTATCGGGAGTGGTTGTGGGGCCTGATAATGCCGTGGGAATGGGTGTTGATGGGCTTGTGAGTCCGGCGACGGAGACGAGACGTGGCTGAGTATCGATAGGATGGTTGGAAGAGATCGCGCTCGGTGGGTTCTGCGTCTCAGATGGAGTGAGCGACTTCGCCGCGGGCGCAGCCATCTCTGTAGCTTTCGCACCGTCGATCTCCGACTCCAGCTTCTTGACCTCCGTCTCCAATGCCTCGCGACGAGTACCATCCTTCTTCAGCTGCTCTTTGAGCTCTTCATTCTCGTCATTAAGAGCGGTCTGCACAGCATCTTTGATCTGCTTCGCCTCCGCAGCAATGCCTTCCCACTCCTTGACCTGCTCCTTGAGCGCGGCGACTTCCCGACTATGCTGTAGTCGCACCTCGTGGAAGTCTCTCTCCATCGAAGCTGCATCGGCTCTGCCCTTCTCTTCTTCTTCTCGAGACGCTGCTAACTGCATACTAAGAGATGCGGCGTTGGCTTCTGCCTCATCCTTCTCTTCTTGGACTCTTCCCACGAGTTCTTTCACCTGGGCCAAGCCAGATCCAGCGGTTTTAATGGCTTTGTTCGCACAACCCAATTGCTCCTTGACTGAGAGGAGTTCCACGTTAACCGTCTGCGTTTCTTGTCGTGCAGCTTCCAGCTCGGCCTTCAGGGAAGCCACTTGAGCTTCAACCGCCTCCATCTCTTCCGATACTGCCTGAGGCTCTTGACCATGAGAAGCTAGTAGCGAAGCGACTCTGGCTTTAGCCCCATCGGCCTCTTTTCGCACCAGCCGTAGCTGCTCGTCCTTGGATTCAGCTTCCATCTTGGCGTCTACAGCCTCTTGCCGCGCCGCCCGAAGTTGATGCCCCATATCCTCCAGTGCATCTCGCTTTGGAGTTGATGAGTTGTGAGACGAGGTGGACATTCTACTCGGGTGCGCAGGCTTGCTCGTAGACTGCTGGAGCTCTTTGACCTGCGCGTTGCTGCGTCTCAGGCGCTCGGTCGCGTCCTTGAGTGCCTCCTGTAGTTTGCGGACCACGTCTGGTGTTTGTGTAGGCTCTTCGCGCACAGGTGTCGCAAAGTCTGGTACCTCGTCGACCTGTGTAGTCCGACGCGCTCGATCAGACCTCGCCTTCTCCCTCATCTCATGTTCCTTCTGCTGCTTCTTCGCAACTTCCAGCTCTTTCCGTAGACCAACATTCGTCTTAAGCTTAATATGAAGCCAGTTAATAACGCGCCATGTGATAGCCTTCCATGTGTTATGGTCGACTCCTGGTGGAGTCCTTGCGCCTTTCCAGATTCTCATCACACTTACAGTGCCCCGAACAGTCATGACGGAGTACAATGCGTATTCGAGAGCGCGATATTCGAGTGCGGAATTGGCCTTGTTCATGATAGTGTAGCCGGCGCTTACGATCCTGAACAGAGTTGGCGAGACGATAGAGTTCATTTTTGCGGCTGTGTTGTTGGAGGTGGCGGAAGCGATGACTGTTGATGTTGTGTTTGCGGTCTTCTTGATGGTGTTTGTCGCGGTCCTGGCGCCGGTCGCGAAGTTGGTACTGACGCCTTGCAGGAGATCGGATGTCTCTGGCGCAGTATTCAAAGGGGTAGTAGATGGATATTTCCTCGCTACTTGTCACAGCGCTGATGGGTATGTTAGTGATCGTGTGAGTGGGATGATGAGGCGGGGGCTGGACTTACGCTGATAGCGTGACTGCGGTAGAGACCTTGTCACGCAGGTGTTCGCTTGTTCGGTCGCGGTGTATTTCCTTCGGGCTGTTTCTCTGAACTTCGGCGTCTTCGTTCTCACGGTGGTCGCGAATGGATGCGGGAGTGCGCGTCGTGGCGTCGTCGCGGTGTCGTCGCAGTGGGCTGAGAATATCCAAGGTAGAGGGGTAAACAAGACCGCGACTCAATGAATGCAAGGAAACAGAAAAACTCTTGTTTACACTCGCTAAGTCGTAATAGTGTGGGCTGACGTAACGGAAAAGTCACGTTGTTGGAAGTTTTAGTCTTTCACTGATGCGATCGGGAGCCAAACAAAGGAACAAAGAGATAAGGAGACAGTCGTAGCTGGATTCGAGAAGACACACGGAGTAATGGAAAGATGCCGCTTGTACATATGCCTTTGGCAGAAATGATATCTAGGGGGGAAGATACGTACTAGATGTAACAACCGAACCTCGGGGTTGCCCACCAAGTTCCCCCAAACTCGCCCTTCAGAGCCCCGTTCGACGCCGCACGAGGCGCGCGCATCAGGACTTCCGTCTGAGCCATCATCATAAGCTCAACAATTGCCATCAAAGACCTCACTTGCTCTTCTGACCCCACCACGACTCCGCCTCCGCCGCTTTCCACTCATCATACTCTCCCGCCGCACGCTCAATCACAGCCTGCTCAGCAGCCGCCTGCCACGTCTTGGCCAAATGACCGTTCTTGAGATCTTCCTGGAACTTGGCGACATCGGTACGGAAGCAGTTGTTTGCCAGCGTGAAGGCTGAAGGCCGTGTGTCTTCTGTGTTGCCGGCGCTGATCTTGGCGAGCAGAGCTTGGTGCGTGGTATTCTCGGGGAGCATGGAGATGAGTGTAGTTTGCTGCTCTGCGCTGAGGCTGGTCCAGGCTGGTCCTTCAAGAAGCATGTGCTGCGATGTGTGAGCTCTTTAACGTTTGGGTGGTGAGTGGATTGAGACTAAGACTTACGTAGATGTCTGCTTTGACTAGGCGGCTGGAGGAGTTGGTCGTGATGTAGATTGGATCGAATACTTTGCTTGGTCCCTTCTTTGTCGGGACAGCCTTGGGAGTGGGCTTTTCCTCAAACTCCTCGAACCGCTCTGGTGCTTTGCGGTTGCGCGAGGGGCGTGAGCTGGGTGTTGCTGCGGGCGCAGGCTTCTTGGCTGCTGCTTTCTTCGGAGCCGGCTTTTTAGGCGCAGGCTTCTTTGGAGCAGGCGTCTTCTTTTTCGTAGTCTTGGCTTTTGTTGCTGAGCTTGTACTCCTGGCTGCGCGTTTGGGAGGCGGTGTACCGAAGGCGGGCTCTTCGTCGTCATCATCAACTTCTTCGTGAGACCTCTTCGGGCTCTGCTTGGATGCGCGTTTAGCGCCCATGTTGGATGTCGGCATAGTAGTAGATGCAGGTGCCAGCGCCTGCTGAGGTAGGGATGGAGACTCGATCGATGGCATGATGGACGAGTCGTTTTCTGTTGTTGAGATAGCAGAATCTGGGACTTGGCTCGGCAGACTTGAGGGGATGGGTGAGACCTGCTCAGATGGAGAAGAGGGCGGTGAAGATAGAGGTGAGGAGTCTGGGTCAGAGTGGTGCATCTTGGCTCGTTTATTTGGTGTTGTTAGAGGTGGTGCGGTAGTTTGCTCTGATTTTGGTGCGGGCGGAACAGGTGTCGGTTGATGGTCGTGTGGAGAGGTGAGTCGGGTGGCGGACGAAGGTCTATGGTTGTCAATCGAAGCTGAGGGAGACGACGTATGGGTTGCCAATCCGCGTTGAGCTTTCTATTGTCGGACGGTGGATACAGGCGAACAATAAGCTAATGAACCAAGCGACAGTCACATGTGAAAAGAAGAATGTCGGCGCGCGAAGTGAATGTGGAGGTCGTATTGAGCAGTTGCACAATGGTAGTCACGCGCTTGGCAGACAAGTGGTGAAGACGTCGCGTGGTAGGTATTGAAGAACGGAACGCACCTCACTGGTAACGACATCTTGTCGTTCAGGCTGGATACAGAAAGTTGACGATGGGTTTGATAAGCAGTCTTTTTGCAAGACGCCGTGAGTGCCAGCGACTACCTGTGTGGGCTGAGGTGAACGGCAGCTGGCAGAAAACCGGTGTGGTGTCGTTTGTGTTGAGGCAGTAGCTATCGCGATGCGCGAGGCTGATCTGCCAATGGCCAAAGTCGCGTTCCACTGAGAAGCTCGCAGCAGAAAGTCACTTGGATCAAGGCTGAAAGCGCGTCTGCCACTCGATGCATAGATTGAAGGTGTTGAAGGGTGACGCGAGGACAGCAGCTCGGCTCCGCATGGTGGCTGGGGCGTTGAGTTGAGGTTGTACCAGATGTTCCGTCACAGGTATACCGATATCAATCCAGACAGTCTATCTGACCTCGTTATTCCGATTAAAGCGTCTGTAGAGTCACGAATGACGGGGCATTGAAGGGTCACGGCATGCTGGTTGTTCGGTGATGGCCGTTGGCGCGTCCGTGCGCTTTCCCGCGCGACCTTTCCGCATCGTCATCTTTGCGATCTGGTATCATCAGTCCGACACGTATCCCCTACCACGCGACTATACATCCTCGGGCCTAACTTTGCGCTCGTCATAATATCTGGCGACGTTGTACACTCACCAGCTGTAATTCTCCGCACCCTCAACCGCCGCCATGATCAAACACACCATAATATCGCGGCTCGATGGTCAGTAACTCAGCAATATTGAAGGCTGCACACGTGCTGATACATGTCTAGGCCTTCACTTGGTAGCCTCGGTCGATAATAACCAGGTAACGGCGCCTCTCGAGCTGTTCACGTAGCCTGAACATGGGACTCACATTTCCCAGAACGATGCCGAGTTCAACGAGGCCACGAACAAAGTAAAGATGTTACAGCGACGCCTAAACCGTAACGCCGAACAACAAGCAAGCATAGAGAGCGGAAACTACACATTCCAGTATGCGCATTGCCCCTGCCTTTACGTGCAGAGAAGCATCCTCGATCACATGCTAACGCAGCCACCAGCTACATAATCGAAGGCGACCTCTGCTTCCTCTGCATATGCGACCGCTCCTACCCGCGCAAACTCGCCTTCACATACCTCTCCGACCTCCAACGCGAATTCACCACCACATACCAACCGCAACAGTACCTCTCACCCGCATGCCGACCGTACGAGTTCGTCGGGTTCGATAACTTCATTCAGAGCACAAAGAAGACATACCAAGATTCAAGGGCGACACAGAATCTAGACAAGTTGAACGATGAGCTGAAGGACGTTACAAAGGTCATGACGAAGAACATTGAGGATCTGCTGTATCGAGGAGACAGTCTGGAGAGAATGGGCGATATCTCGAGTCGGTTAAGGGAGGACAGTAGGAAGTACAAGAAGGCTGCTGTGCGCATCAACTGGGAGTTGTTGTTGAAGCAGGTAAGTAACGGGCAGACACACGTCTTGGCAGTGGACTTGGAATGCTAACGATGCGCAGTACGGACCTATCGGCGGACTGGCCTTCATCATCATCGTCTTCATCTGGTGGAGATTCTTTTAGACACGGGCAGTGAGTCGGCACTCGGCATGTACCAAGGAGGGCATTCAGGCACCGTCGGCGTTAGAGGCGCATACATTGCCGGAAAAACGGCGAAAGATACACAACAATACCCAAGCTCCAGCTTTTCGTATACAAGTCTTCATACAATACAACCCTGGTTCCACGGTGTGAATGATTGCGCTATCGAGAAGACAAGGATACCCTCCCAAGCCTCTAGCTCTGATTGGCTGGAAGCATATCGTGAGCACTACATACCTCGCTAATCCTTCACACCATGTCTGCCCCACTCCACACTACCAATTTCGTTTTGCACCTTTTTCCTTTTGCCAGTCCAGCACACTTCGACGGATATTGCAGTGGACGACGACGGTGGACTGGACGTATACGGACTACACTATGCCATCGGGCAATACGACGCACACCATGTGAACACCGCACCAAACCCGGACGCACGTGCCGGTATCAACACTATGACGGAATGATCAGATATGAGGGGGGTGTCTTGTAAGAGGAAGGAGAGGGAATATGGAGCTACAGGATAAATCCGGAGCTTCGGACCAAGTACACCTCCCACAATAACCGCCTCCTCTCCGTCTGGATAAGAACAATGCAGCCACTTGGCGTCAATATCGCTGTGGGTTGGAGGAGGCACGGGTAGAAAGACTGTCAAGATACGATGGAAAGATCGGGTCAAGAGGAATACATGCCTACTTTGAGCAAAGAGAGTGGAGATGTGGCCGTATTTCGGGGGATTCTATGGATGAGGCATGCCGCCGTTCCCATATCCATTCACATCCGTGACGACCTACCTTCGGAGTTCCGGTGCCCAAGGACCCCGGGCCATAGCCTTTGTCGTGCGGGATAGCTTCATCGGGATAATTGCGCAGTAGACTTCCACGTCTGGGAACTACTACGTTGGATTGCATGACTGCCATTGAGGGAGGAAGGCGCATTCGGAGTGCGCGATAAACTTGCTAGTACTGGTCGTTCTTGCCTGTTTCCCTGTTCCGAATACGTCGACCTAGGAAAAGGCCAAACGCCCTAGAGCCTACACCAGCGTTAGGTCGCCTACTTTGCAGGTTTTTAAGCAGACCTGTTGGCATTCTTCCTTCCCATCGACGCATCACTGACACAATCCCTCCAACGAGCTTTCCAAACATCACCAACACCAAAATGACTAAACCGCAACTCGTCCTCATCCCTGGCGCCTGGCACACACCCTCCGCCTTCTCTCTTCTTACTACCGAGCTGCACGCTCTTGGGTACACAACGCATGCGCGTCAACTCGCCTCCGTTGGCAGCATCACACCTACCACCGACCTCTCAGCCGACATTGCAATCGTCCACTCCATGATCAACTCCGCCATCGGCGACTCCGGCAACGACGTCGTCGTACTAGCCCACAGCTGGGGTGGCATCGTCGCCAGCAGCGCGTTGGTCGGCTTCGGCAAGACTGAACGAGAAACGGCAGGGAAAAGAGGCGGAGTGGTGAGATGTGGATACATCGCTGCCAGCATGCTACCCGAAGGCATCAGCCTAATGGACTCGGTAAACCACACCTTCCCTCCTTGGACTCAAATTTCCGGACCTTACATCCACGCTCTCGACCCACATGTCTTTTACTCCGACCTTCCTCTCGCCGAGCAGGCATACTGGTTTTCGCAAATCCAACCGCATTTGCTGGCGAGCGCTTATGCGAAGACGACGGGGGCGGCGTGGAGGCGGATTCCTAGTGCTTATTTGGTTTGCGAGGAGGATAAGAGTATGCCGGTCATTGCGCAGGATAGGATGATTGAGATGGCAAGGGCGGAAGGTGGGGAGGTGCAGGTGACTAGATTGGGGTGTGGGCATAGTCCTTTTCTGAGTCGTGTGCAAGAGACGGTGGAGTGGGTTAGGAGGGTCGCTGGGGAGGAGATTTGAAGAGGTGGAATACGGGAGGGGTCAGGTTTTCACACAAAGTCCGGGTTTTGGAGCTCAGCCGTCGGTTTGCGGTGTCTTGCAGCCATTTCCACGCTTATTCTTCCCCGATCTGTAAGCAACTGTCCCGTACACGTCGGTATCGACTGTCAAGCCTTTGAACGAGGAGCGCATGCGACGACCGAGACAACAACCCCAACGAACAATTCACGGAACCAGCAGGCTCCCGCCTACGTGTGGCCAACGATTGGCTTAGGCTATATCCTCAATCTTCCGGCTAAGCCGTTCGTTTTGACCACACGTCGGCCGATGATTTGCGTATGATTGATGATTGAGTCAGTGATCTATGTCCAAAGCACCGCGTATTTACATCGAGCGAAATCGCGATGCTTCGGGCATAGATCATTGACACATTCATGCGAAATCATGATCTGTGTATGTCCGTTAATCTCATGGACACTTCTTCTCCACCATACCGTGAAGCCTGGTATGGTGGAGAAGAAGCGTCCATGAGATCAACGAACATTAACAGTCGACCTGGCCGATAATCGTCCTACGGAATGCGCACACAGAAAGGTCGTCTACCACACTCTCCACGCATCAGAACAGGCTTACCAGCCATCCCAAAATCTCCACGCGCGCCATTCATCCCGCAACCGCAGAATCGAGCATTCTAACGGGCGCACAACTTCTCGTATCAGAATTCCTCCCCTCCCCCATTCTTGTAAATTATATCAGTGGAAATACTGTATGGTAGGATATCCATCAATGCTGAATAGATGACTATCCTAGCATTCAGTATTTCCACTAACATAATCCCCAAGACCAGGGTACGCAGTGCGAGTAGACCGCACACCTTTCACACCTTAATCATCACCCCAATCTTTTAGACTTTGTCAGTTGTAGATTACTATAGCAGCCTTCAACTTACGAAATCTTAAAGATTGGCGTAATGTCAGTCAGAGGTAAGCCAGGACAAAGGAGGAATTCTGATTTGA